TTGTGTTTAAAACTTTTATTTTTTTCCAATAACTTTCTAAATATAGAATATTTAATTTATGAAGTTTATATTTTATATTAGTTTTTAAATTAATAAAATCTCCATACAATACAGCATTGTTAGAAACACTATTTTAGACAATAATATAAAATACAACAAAGTACATACAAGTTTGAATGGTTATGAATCAAGAAAGAATATCTTCTATTGCATCAATTCTAATATACTATGGTTACTTAAGTAAAGCTAATAAGCCAAGTCAACTATTGAGCTACGTAAATCCCATTAATAGTACTGAAGTTCAAAATATTGCTACGGCAACTCGGATTGCATATGAAGAAGTTTTTGATTTTTTCAATACAACGCGTCCATGCATTACAGATAAAGCCACTACGTTGAATAATACCTTTGAATCAAATGAAATCACCAAAACAATTTTCTCCTCATGGTAAATATTTTGGTAGATAAATGTTTAAATTAAAATGTTTTTTTTTTCTAAATATTTTTATTTTCAAAATAACAAAGTAAATTTTTCTTCTAGCTTTTATGTTGCTGATCAACCAAGTTTTAATTGTGATATAATAGGATGGAATTCTCGTGTCATTATATTTATATATTCATTAGCTGTAAGTTTTTTTTATGTTTTTTAAAAATCTTCGTCCTAATATACATACCTTTGAAGTGTCTTGATCTATAAACACATCAAAATGTTTAAATTATCATATCAAATAAGCTTGTCTATTTCTTAAAATCATTTCAATGATCCCAGTAAGCACAAGATAAGTTAAATGCACTTAAAAAACATATTGAAACATATTGATAAGTGTTTAATCCGTTTTTTAGATGTCACTTGTGCTTATTGGGATGTTTTATATTATGTCTTTCAAGTTAAAACATTTTTTTTTGTGAGTTACTTGGAAACATCTATTTTTGTTTAGTATATCTTTGTGACTATTATGATGTTTTTTACAAAAAGAAAGTTTATTGCAACAAAACTATGTTGGGGTCGTCCTGGTTGTCTAATGTATGTTTTTATTTTTAAAATTTAGTTTGTTTTAATGGTTAGATTAAATTTATTTGAATTTAAATTGGGTTTTTTTAAAAAAAGTTTTTACTAATTTTTATTCTATTTAAAATTTTGTGTTAGCCTACTGACATTTATTTGATATACAAAAAACAATTTTGCTATTATTTGTAAGCAATTTTTTCAAATTTAATTTGTACCGTTAAAATTAAGAATAAAAATTATTACTACTGACAGTTCCTTAATTTCTGCTACTTATTATCTGCAACTTTTATTATTATACTTGTGAGTTTTTTAAACATATTATGTTTTAGACCTGTTAACATGCTTGACTCTTATGAAAATCGCTATGGTTATGCTTTGTCATTTGGATTAACTGTATCATCATGTTTCTCAGTTATTTTTTCTGACTATTCTGATATTGTTGGACTGGAAATGGCACAGAAACTAACTTTATTACCAAGTTATCTTTCAGGTATTTAAAGTATATATTTTAGGGATATAAAACTTATCTTTCACGTATTTAAACTTATATTTGTAAAGTTTTGTTCACAATTTTATGTTTTAACATCTGCTTTTAATGTTTTAGTATTTGTAAAGATGACGTTTTCGGCTATAATATCTGTATCAGGAGCACCATTTCTGATTTGTCAGAGCTTAGATAACCAACTTGTTGGTTGTTTAATTGGACTGTGTATGTCTTTGTCTTGGTGAGTTTTTTTACATTTTTTTTATATAATATTTTTAATAAAAACTTTTAACTTTTATCCTTGTTAGTATACTGGAGATTTTTCAGCCAAGCTCAAGCATTTGCCGCAGTATTGTAAAGTTGTGTCTATTCTTATTTTTAATCACACTGTCATGGTTACTTTTTAAATTAGCTATCATTTCTTGCTCCACCTAGTAAAGCTTAACCTTTAGTGACTCCTCATTAAGTGCATCATTTTACTGTAACTGTTTCTTTATGACCAAAAAACTTTACTCGATCAGTTTTTCTTTAAATCTAATTTTTTTGGAATTTCCCATTCTTATTTTCTTGACTCATAAAGTTTACAGCTTTTAAAGTCAACCGTTTTCTTACTCTCTAACTACCCTCTTTATTTACTTAAATAGTGGTTGCCTGCAGCTGTTTTGGAAAGGGATATCTTTAAAAAGTGTAGTTGTATCTCCATTAAGGCACTTTTAAAAGTACTATTATATTATATTATGTATTGTATATTGTTCTATATTCTAAATAAAATTCAAGCTATATATATATTCATATATAAATTCATATATATATATATATATATATATATATATATATATATATATATATATATATATATATATATATATATATATATATATATATGTATGTATGTAAAAGGCCGATACCGATGCCGTTACCGATGAATTAACTAATTAATAAACGGAGTTGGACCCGGTCTATTGGCTAAACTTGAGTCTCTTTCTCATCGTTGTAAAGTTGTATCTCTTTTTCTTTTAGTACAAATACTATCATGGTTGTTTGCAGCTTTGTTGGGAGTAAAAAAAGAATTTTAAAAATATTGATAACAATGCTTAAATAGGTTACTTTTAAAGCTTTTGGTTGAAACAAAGTCAAAAAAAAATTTATCCAAAAAATTCTAAGTGATGCATAAAGTTTAGTTTATTTATTGTTTAATTATTATAATGCACAATAAAAATATTAAAATGCCATTGGTTAGATAATCGGTAAAAGAGGCCGATACCGATTCTGATTGTACAAAAAGAGTTAATGCTGTCTGGGAGGTCATTTATGAAGATGGTAAATAGAATTGGTCCTAGTACAGATCCTTGGATAACACCACTAGACACTGGTGCCCATCTTGATGATATGTTGCCTACTTGCTGCCCTTGATTTGTTAAAAATAAGCGAATCTAAGCAAGTAGATGACCTGGTTTGTCATATTTGCTCAATTTCTCAATAAGACTCACATGCTGTACTAAATCAAATGCAGGTTAAAATTTGAGAATTATGATATCTAGTGGTGTTTTCTTTGCCATAGTTTTAGTGGCTAAATCCATAGTTTCTAGAAGGTTTGTGGTACATGATTTATTTAGAATGAAACCATGTTTGCTACATTATAGGTTTTTTTTTGTGAAATAGTTGACATGTTCATTGCTTAATATTTTTTCCATATCTGCATAGGTCTGAATCGGTTTATAGTTTCCCGGATCTGTTGGGCTTCTTTGTTTAAGTATGGATGTTATGTTTGTATCTGGCCATGCTGTTGGTACAGCTCCTAAATGCAATGAGATGTTGAATATGATTGATAGTGGCTTGGTGAGTTTGGAGGTGAGTGCTTTTAGTACAAACGGGTGAATATTATCTTCTCTTTGCAATTCGTTTCCATCAATTTAAGTTAGTAAACTTGCTACTTTGTCTGCTGTGATATTAATGCTGTTAATCGTGTTATTTACTCTTTGGCCAAGGGTGTGGCTTTGGATGTTTTTTTTTTTTACTGAAGACAGACTCAAATTTATTGTTTAATAATTCAGCCCTGTCCTTTTTACTGTTTTTTAGTTCACCATCGTCAGATTTAAGGGCTTGTATTGAAGTAGATATTTTTAAATTCCTATTTATATATGAAAAGAGTTGTTTTAGGTTTTTATTGTCATTTGCTAAATTGACCTTTAAGTTTTTTTCCGCTTTTTTAGATGCTTTTTTTAATATTTCTTAACATGCTTTTCGATATTCTTTTTCTTAAGTTTAATTTTTTTCTCTTCAATTTAACTCTTAAGTTTAATTTAACTCTTAAGTTTAATTTTTTTCTATTTTAGGCTAAGTTTTGTTTCCACAGTGTCTTAAGTTAAAATAATTCAATGTAACTTTTGTTTCCTCCAATGTCTTGAGTTAAAATAATTTTTTTATTTTATTAGTCACCCATAATGTTTTTTTTTTTTTTTTTGAATAAATCTTTCGCATAGATTTTAATACAAGTTCAGTAGTTTGAGCTTTCAAGTCAAAAAATTTTCTATCAAAAAATTTTCCCAGTCAATTTTGACCAGCTCTTTTTTTATTGATTTGTAATCACCTTTATAGTAATTAAATTTCGTATTTAAAAAGGTGTAGACAGCTTTTCCGGTGACTAGAAAATTCCATTTACATACCAGATGAGATTCCACTAGTTGACTCGTCTAACTATTAGTCTTCTTCCTATTATAAGCAAGGTTTTTGAATCTTTAATTTACAAACACTTAATCTCTCATGTTGAGTCAAATAACTCACTTTCTGATCATCAATATGGATTTTTATCTTTTCATTCTACAGCCAATTTGCTAACTGTAATAACTGATAGGTTTTATCATACATTAGATAGAAGTAGAGAGATTAAGGCTATCGCTCTTGACATTTCTAAAGCGTTTGATAAAGTTTGGCATGCTGGTCTTCTCCTAACGCTTTCTTTTTTCAGTGTACAAGGTAACATCTTTAAGATTATTGAATCCTTCCTTTCTAATTGTAGTATAAAAGTTATCCTTGATGGACACCATTCTTCATATCTTTTAACTTCAAGGATATACCACGCAAATTTAATAAATCAGTTATTAATGATATCAAATTTAAACAAGGCCAATGCGTTGTTTTTTTTTAATTTAAAACATGGCGTGATATATCAAATCAATTGCTAAATTAGTAGTTGCTATGGTTGCATCTCTATCATGCTTACCACTTTCTTACTTAGGGTTCTATTCTTTATTTCTATAGATCTCAAATGTGTCCTTAATATATATACTGTTGCTCTTGATTGTTACTACTTTAACCGTAGTATCTTGATATTGTAGTAACAATCTAGTGGTTCTAGATCTAAACTACAGAGTAAATAAATTAGTCATCATAAATGACATAAGATTTTAACTCTTTCACTACCGTAAACTGCAGATAACGGCTTTTATTTTATTTTTACCGCAAGCCGCTGGTAGCGGCTTTTGAGTAATCTACACATTTTATCTTGTTTTGTACATAAATTTTCAGACACATATAATTTGTTTGTTCTTAAGGTTTAATTATTTTTCTACATAGTCAAGTATAAATAAAAGCCATTTTGTGTAATTATAAAATGTTATCATTTGACAAAGTTAAAAAATCTTTAGTAATCCTTGATAATTAAAACTTCTTTAAATTTAATTATAAAATAAAGCAGCATTAACATTGTAAAATTTTACTTTTAGAAGTGTATTAGTATTTAGCTAAGTAATTACAATAGTCTTTTGAAGAAGAACATTCATTTATACATTAAATAAGTTTTGTTTTGGACCTCATGTTTTAGTTACTATTTATAAAAATAATGGTTTTAAGCACTTTGCATTTCTTATTGTTCAATGATGCGTGTTAAAAACGCATGCTTTTAAAAAGATTTACTATTTAAATTTTAATTCATTGTAAATGTTATGCCATCCAAATTTTATTCAAAAAAATGTGCACAACGAAAAGATTTTTGTTAAAACAGCTGGTAGCAAAAGAGTTAAAATACAAGTTTATTATGCATGAAAGCCCTCCATGCTGCTGTGAATTTTTGCTTAAATTAGGTAATGACAAATTTAATTATAGAAAGAATGTTATTCTCATTCTAAATATTTGTTCAACATAAAAAAGCTAAACTTTTTTTAATGTTAAGTAGATATTTAGAATAAAAATTTTGCGTAGTACCTTTTACTTTCTTTTACTATTTAATACTTTTTTCAACTACTTTTTTTTTTCAACATACTTTGTGTTTTCAATTTATGGCAGCATTCTTTTACTGGTTTTTACTGTTCACCAGAACTGTTTTAGGTTATATATGAAGTCATGTTGTTTTTTTCGAGGCAGAGAGGCTAAGGCTATTGCTCTTGATATTTCTAAAGCTTTTGACAAAGTTTGGCATGCTGATCTTCTCCAAAGGCCAACATTCTTCTATATTTTCAGTAACTTCTGGGGTACCTTAAGGTTCTATCCTTGAACCTGTTTTGTTTCTTATCTATATTAATGTTCTTCCTGACAACCTTACATCTAAAGTAACACTTTTTGCTGATGACTCAACTTTATGCTCCTGTCTTGACAAAAAGCCTTCTCTTTTCAATTGCTTAAAACAGACAGCCAATCTTTAATCTGGTCTTATTTCTGTAACAGGTTGAGGCTCACAGAGGCTTGTAAATTTACACCCCAACAAAACTCAGTTATTTACTGCAAACAACTATTGCAGTAATGTTGACATTCCTATATTAACGAATGACAACCTTCTCACTGAGTTCTCTTATTTATGTCTTCTTGGATTATCATTTACTACTGACCTTTTATGGAAACCATATATACAATCAATTGCCAAATTATCATCTGCTAAGGCTGCTTCTCTTTATTGTGCTCGCCATTTTTTTTTTCCTAAGTACATTCTCTACCTCTACAAATCTCTTATTCGCCCCTGTATGAAATACTGTTGTCATATTTGGGCTGGTTCTTCTAATGATGCTTTCTCTTCTAGACAAGGTCCAAAAATGCATTGTAAATGTAGTTGTACACGCTCTGGTAAGCTTTAGCCTCTTTTCCATCTTTGAAAAGTTGCATCTCTTTCTCTTTTCTACAGATACTATCTACACCATGGTTGCTGCTCAAAAGAGCTATCATCTCTAGTTCCATTAAGTAAAACTTATTCTGGCTTGCTCCTCATTCAGCAAAGTCTCATTCTTTTACTGAATCTGTCCCTGCATACTCTAAAAAATTTTATATGTCTACTTTTTTTCCCCACATTTCAACCCTTTGGAACCCTTTTCACGTTTTCCTGATTCATACAACCCTCAATTTTTTAAGTTTTCTGTCAACCGTTTCCTTGCTCTATAACTCTATTCTTTTTTTCCTATAAACTCCAAACTTACCAAAATACACTTACCTTGGGTCAACGTATGTAAATTCATTGCGAATGTCAGCTGTTTTCTCCGATTTAAATGTAAGGTTGATCCAATGTTAGTTTTATGGTATTTATAATAATGAAAACAATAAAAACATGATTAAAAATTATTAGCAAAATTACATTGGTCTTACATATGTAAAAAACATCAAAAAATTGGCTATTTTTCTGATCTAAACCAAATATTAATCCAATGTATAGGCATCAACGTTGACCGAATGTGTATAACCCCACATTGATCCAATGTATATGGATTAAGGTTGATCCTATGTTTATAACCCAGCGTTAATTCAATGTGTATGGATTATATACATTGAATCAATGTTGATCCATATACACTGGAATAATATTGGATTATATACAGTGGATCAATGTTATGTTTGCATTAAGAAAAAGCAGATATTCAAAAATATTCAGTAGTGTTAACAAATTTGCAGACATGCTAAATAAAATTGAATTTTACTAATATTTCAGCAATTAATTCACTAAATCCAATATATTATATACCAAACATAAGATTTTCATGTTTACTGTTATGTTTTGAAAATATAGTGGTAATTCAATTTACGTACTTTAATTGATTTTAAAATTAATGATTTTTAATGAGCTCAAAAACTTGCGGACAAACCGTTTATATTCGAAAAAGTTGGGATTTTTAACGATATTCGATCAAAATTTATTAGAAATGCAAAATCACATTAACGTTTTGTAGGACAATCATTACTATCATGAATGGCTTTGCATCTACGAGGCATAAAGTCAACTAAGTTAATAAAAACATTAATATGGGCTAAGTGCAATATTTATTTGATTTTTATGAATAAATGAGCATAATTTGTAAGCTTGACGTCTAATATTTGACGGTCAATATGTTACCATAAATAATCAATGGTATCTTATTTCAACTAAGACAGTTAATTAGGATATCAACTTCAAAACACGAATTTTACTCTTTTTGAAGAATTTTGAACCTATTTGCCTGTGTGTTTGGGATCGTTTTCTTGATGTTAAATTCATTAACGAGACATTTTAACCTCTGCATGAGGTAACTCAATGCTCTTACATATGTCTTTGTATATTTCTTAATCAACTTAAAAAAAAAAATTCCTAATTTTTTTTGGGCGTTTTTTTTGTTAATTTTTCAGGTAAATCAATTACTTTTAGATTAAGCATATTCCAAACATTTGCACGTTGCAAACAACATTTTATAGAAGAAATATAACAATTTATTCCGTAAAAATGTTTCATTTATTCATTTAAATCTATAACTGTCAAATAAAGGTTTTTGTTGCTTAGTATCATGAGCGTTTTACCCATACAATATGTTGTTTTACGTGATCTTCCTAATTTTTTGGGATCTTTGTGGATCCTGTTAGTTCACATCTCTTTATAATTTGTCTATTAGCAGACTTACCGACTTTATAAAATTGTGCTGCCTTACGAAATAAATTTTCATTTAAACTGATGCTCCATTTAAACTGGCTATCAACTTTTTCACTGGAGATACTATACTTTTCTTATATCCCGTGGCCTCAATCGCTTATGAATAAAGCTTATTAATTATTTTCACAAAGTATTTGTTTACATCATCAATAAACTAGCACTTTTTTGGAACAAATGTAAAATGTTTCAGTATGTCTGCAAATTTTTGACCTCATTAAAAATCATTAATTTTTAAATCAGTTAGAATACATAAATTAAACTATCAATATTTTTTCAAAACATAACCGTAAACATGAAGGTGTCGGTGTTGGGCCAACGCAATTCGCAACATTGTTTTAACATTTTATCAACAAATGTGTGCTGGCTGTGATGTTGGGAGTGTATCAGAATACAAAAAAGTAATAATAAAATATTGGAACTTTTAAACAATGTAGATATAAATAAATCTATTGGTAGTGACAAAGTTCACTCTAGAATTCTTAAGGAATGCTTGATCCTCCCCAGTTAAGGCAACAGTATTCCATACAAGGCTGAATTTGAGATTTATAGAGAATAAAATCCAGAATAAGAAAGTGTTGAGCTCAATAAAGAGATGCAACCTTAGTAGATGCTAATTTTTACTAATGGAATTTTGCAACAGAGTTTTGCAATTTTTGCTAATTACACCATTAGCAAAAATTGCAAAATTGAGTTTCAGTGTGTTTAATGTGGTAGTGGTATAGTGGTAAAACGCTTGCCTCATAACCAAGATGTTCCAAGTTCAATCCCCATCACATCATTATAGTACCATGCTCAACTTGTTTCACTGCACAGTGGCCTTGTTTGTCTTGTTTGGAGTTATAGAGTTGAAAGAGGGTTGTAACCACAATAGGTTGTATTAAAATAAAAAAAACATTCTTCAAGCAACATTCTTTTTCTAGAGAAAACTGTTGTTGTATTTAGGCTGTTTCTTCTAGTGATACTTGGAATACTGTTTTCATATTAGAGCTGGTTCTTCTGATGATGCTCATACTTTCATATTCTAGGTCCAAAAATTCATTGTAAATCTGCCTATCTGCATCTGTCAAGCTTGAGCCACTTTCCTCTGTTTTATATTACTGTGACATCCATAAAATATGCATATTTAAAATCAGAGAAAGTTGCATTGAAATAGGAAAGATTTTTTGTCAATCTGCCATGCTTGAGTCACTATTCTCTGTTCTGTGGTAAGGTCTTTTTGTTTTTGAATTCTCTTTTATCTTTATGTTTTATTTTGACTCATACAACCTTCTGTCAACTGTTTCGTTACTTTTTAATTCTGATGTTTGTTTTCTAATAACTCCCAACATATTATTGATACTTGCAGCATTGTTAAGTTTGTTAAAAAAAAAAACTTTGATAAACAATGAAATAGTTTTACTGATAGTTTAAGTTTATCATAAAATATCTAAAAATAAACAGATAAAAGGTTTTGTTTTTATATTATTTTGTTTTAATTTTAAACTTATCAAAATAAAAACATAAAAAAAAAGTTTTATTTTGTTTATGTTCTTTTCAATTTAGGTTTGTGTATGAGTTATCCTTAAAGATTCCTATATTATCAGCATGCAGTTTGGGTATGTTGGAATTAAGTGTAAGTATATTTGTATAAACATTTTAATTTTTATAATAACCCAAAGCAAATGAATCTTATATTGTTTTTTATATTCATTAAAAATATTTCTGAACCACCTGTTTTTTCTGATAATACAACTATACCTTTTAAAGTATTTATATATACGCTTTAGTAGAGAAATGTCAATGTACCAGCACTCTTTTTCGGCTGCAGTTTATAAGATATATAATGAAAAAAAAATTCTTGTGTGTCCATTTATTACTCCAGCGAGACTGGCAATTAATAATAATAGTTATTATATGAGGATCTATGTACTGAAACCCGCATAATTACAGGGTTGCCACCAAATCAGGGATTTTAGGGAAAGTCAGGAAAGTTTAGATATGATCAGGAGAAATCAGGGAAAAAAGATTTATTTAGTTAAAAGCCGGGGAAAATCAGGGAATTGTTTAATTTTGCACTATTTTATTTTAATGTTTTAAATGTTTTATAGTTAATAATATTCGTTTTTTAGTTAACTTATTTAAGTTAACTTTTCTAGTTAACTTAAATTAAGTGATTATACAGCCCAAAATATTGTTCAAATATAATATAATTGATCATTATAAAAAAAATATACTTTTATTCTGGTCATTTATTTACAGCATAAACCAAATAAGAAGTTTATGCAAAACATTTTATGTAGGTTTGAGTGGAACCATTATTAATAATTTAAATGAATTTATTAAGTGCTTTTTTGTATAGAAATAGCTGCAACAAACCATATTTTATTTTATTTCTCTTTTTTTAAGATAAATAAATATTAAAAAATTTTCAAATGATAGTTTATTTCAATAAAAAATGTTTGAGTGATTCATTGTTTAAAAAATGGCTGGTAAATGGCACAGATAAAAAGTCAATTAAATGTAAAACATGCCAAGTTCAATTCAACTTATCAAATATATTAATTGCATAAATCTAAAAAAAACTGTGTACAGATGGCCTCAAATAAACTTTTTACTTCTTGATCTTATTAAAAAGCAGCCTGAACAACTAGAGCTAAACTTCTTAAAATTAAGAGTTGTAACATCTAATGTAATCCATGTTGTTATAAAAACTGGTTTTCAATCAAGGAAGTTAATGAAAGGCAACTTTGCAACCTTTTCCATGGTTCTCCTGCCATAAGAGCTGATTATGTAATTGTCACTAAACTAAAGATAAATTAACTTAACTAAATGGAATTTTTTTTTGGTTACATTGCTAGTTTGTTGCAGAAAATCTTAGTGAGACATCAGACAGGCACCTCAATGATTCCATCTCTTTAAAGATTTGTTTTCATCTGATTAAAATTTAATGAGTTTAATAATTAAACAAGATGTTTTATGCAGCATCATCAACGGGAGGCAACTTCTGAAATTTTATTTCACTAGTAAGAAAAAGTTTCTAATGTTAAAATCAATGACAATTGATTTTGCTGCAAAATGTAATGTTATGGAATTAAAGGAGAAAAGATGTGATTTCAAGATGTGATCAATATATTCATGAAAGATTGTTAACTTTTAGTTGTGTTGACTTAAAGTTGTGTTGACTTAAGTTGTGTTGAAGTTATTTAAATTCTTGAAAAAGTAGATGATCAGCTTTCACTTCATCTAATTCTTTTCTGCTTGCATATCTCTTCATTTAAATGCAATCTTGCTTTCACAATTCTGGAAGTTGTTAGAAAAAAGTTCATTTTATATTTGATCAGCATTAAAAAAAATATTACACTAGAAATTGTTTAGAGAAATTTTAAAACTATTGAAGTTGGTATAAAATACAAGGTTTTGTCAAAAGTCTTGATGTAGTTTTACTGTTAGATCATGGCAGAGTGTAAACTAGCCCTGTGGGGCCCCGTCAAATGCAATGTCTCCAAATGCTCATAAAATTAAAATTTCTAATTTAAAAAAGAAATAATCCCGTTCTCCAAATAAGCTTTGCCTAATTAAAGTTTAATAATATTTCTAAAAGTTATTCAAAATTAATTACTATTAAAAACTAAAAGAAAAATAACATTAAAAGTTATAATTATTTGTTTAAAACTTGAAATAATATTGCCGTTATTGGTATAACTAGGAGTTTGCATAACTGCAAAAATGTCTCTTAGAAAAAAAATATTTTTGAATTTTGGGATTTTCTGAAAATCCCTAAAATTGCTTGGAAAAAATTTCATTTTTCAAAATTTGTTAATATTTTTTTGCAATACATTCCAACAACAGCAAATATTAAAAAAAATTAGCAAGAAGTAAAGCACAATTTAAAAAATTACAAATTTGTTTGGTTTAACACCCGCAAATGCTATTTATTTAAAAGTTTTGCCCTTTCTGGCTGAAAAGTTAAATAAGTTAAACAAATGTTTTTTGATTATATCAGACTGGTTCTAGACATTTATTTAATATTAAAATAGATTTATTTACTTTACTTGTTGCTCATATTTAAAATGTAAATTAAATACTTTTAATAACAAGAATGTTTTTTTTTATTACAACAAACTGGTACTAAAAATTTAAAAAGCAAGAAAACTAGATGCTTGCTTGAATTTAAAACATAAAAGCAAATTTAAATGTTTTAATTATTGGTGTTCTTCGTTGCCACGATAGCGTGCAATCGCTTGTGAACCTTTGTAGTTCTTTTATAAGTAAATAACATTTGTTGTTGTTTTTGCTGAGACTTTGTAATTGTAACTTTATTTCGCTATGCGATTTATGTATAAAGAAAGTTAGCATTAATTATAAAATTAAAATCACAGTTAATGTGAAATATGAAATTTAAAAGCTTGTGTTTACTGTTTTTCAAACCTTTTTTATTTTTCTATTTTTAAAACATTTCTTTTGATGACATAATTTATTACATGATAGTGTAAGGGTTCGTCGATAAAGGGGGTCAAACAGAATTTAGATAATAGTAAAAGTAGAAGATCGCTAATATTACTTTAAAAATCGCCTTTTAATATCCACCTGTGAAAAAATTATATATATTCAAAAGAATACTCTTAGCATGAAAGCGGCAATAATATATTAAGATTAAAAGTAAATCAAATATATTATTCAAAAAAATAATTAATTATACACACTGATAATTTTATAACATAAAATTATAATTCTGAATATATCTTTGGAAATCGGAGCTTAATTTGTATTGTCGTTGTGAAATCATGTTTAATTTTGTGTTGATTTTATATTCATCTTCAATAAATGTTACAGACGGTATTTTTGTTTTCTTTTTGGCGCTGTCTAAATAATGTATGCAGCGCTAAAGTGGAAAGAATATAAGGAAAGGACAACACACATTCCCAGTACACATTTTTATCAGAAGAAGGGGGGGCGGCGGTAGTTTTATATTTAGGAAATTTTTAACAAATCCCAATTTTGTCAAAACGCTGTATCAAATTTATTCCTAGTTAACATCCTGCATTGTTGAGCATTAGTTGAGAGGGTCTTCAGTATAAATAGTAATATACTTAGTGAAAACATGAAAGAAAAATCACTTGCCTTTTGCTAAAAAAGACAAGTGACTATTAAAGATCTCGTGATATCTAACAAATTGAAGGGTCAACAAATAAAAATCAACAATTAAAGACTATTTGTAACGCTTGGCTGAAATATTAATAATATTTAGAAGAAAATAGAAATTTTCAAGTATCATATAATAATATATATGTGTTTGCGTATATATGTGTATGTGTATATATTATATACACATACACATATATATGCATACACACACACACACACACACACACACACACACACACACACACACACACACAGATATATATATATATATATATATATATATATATATATATATATATATATATATATATATATATATAGATTTTTCAAATTTATTGTTAAGTTTTCCATTAAATTTCTGTTTGATGAAAAGCATGTCTAATTAGAATATAAATATTTGATTTTTTTATTATTTTACTTATCTCTTTAATTAAAGCACTTTAATAACTAATAACTTGAATTTAATAATTATAAAAGCGCGTTAATTAAAGATATTTAACAGAGGAAAGTTGCTAACTTTTAATTCCACTATTAACACTAATTTTTTTTTCGTTCAAAAGAGCATTAATTGAAAATTTCATGAAAACTAGAATTAAAATTCGTTTTTTTGTCTGTCTGTCTATCAAAACAATTTAACAGTTTTTAATCATTTGAAATTGAAAAAAGGTTATGCGCATAATTATGCGAATGTTTTTTCCGGACCCTAGTGAATATGTATGTATGTGTATATGTATGCATATATGTATATGTATATATATATATATATATATATATATAAATGCATATATGTATATGTATATATATATATATATATATATATATATATATATATATATATATATATATATATATGTATATATATATATATATATATATATATATATACATGCATGCATGCATGCATATATATATATATATATATATATATATATATATATATATATATATATATATATATATATATATATATATATATATATATATATATATATATATATATATATATATATGAGTTTGAGTTTGATATATTCAGTAACCAAATTGATACATGTTAACCGCAATAATGCTGTAACAACAATAAAATAAAATATGTATATATTTGAATTTTAAATTATTAATTTGATAAAGAGACTTTTCCAGGAGTCTCTATGCTGGTTTAACAGTTTATCACATCAAAATTTGATCTTTAAATCTATTTAAAGTTGGAGCATTTAAAGTGTGCTATGTTAGAGAGTTCCAATGGACCCCAACTCTGTTTGTGAAAAAGTTTGATCTCTCAAACTTTTTTACAAAAATAGTTGGATCTCTAAGCAAAGCTTTGTTGTGACTGCATTGTGATTGCAAAGTTCGTTTAGGTTTTGCTTGTTTAGGTTTTAATGTTTTGGTTTTTGATAATTTTCTGTCTGGCAAACTCAACTATATTTATATATATCATATGTATACATATAGATATATGTATATATATGATATTTATAGATATATGTATATATATGATATGTATATATAGAGATATATGTAAAAATATGATATATATAGATATATGTATATGTATATATATATACACGTATATATACATATATCTATATATATTATTATAGGTAGTACTTGGGCCACCTTCGCTCCAGGCCAAACAAGATATTCAGTTTAGTTCCTTGCCTAATGAAAAAACTTAATAATGTTGTTTCCTTTGCACAAGAGATGTTTTACTTTACACATGAAATTTTTTTAAAAGCGGTTTTTGTTTTAATTTTTTTACAAGCAGTTTTTGTTTTAATCCAGGTTACTGCAATTTAAATACTAGTCATCCGTAAGTACATTACATAACAAGATTATTTTAACTTTTTTTACATATGAAATTTAGAAACATGTTTTATAATAATATAGCCTAAAGCTTTTAATCTTTTGATACAATTCCTCCCTGAGGACCATCAGCCTGCAGCAATGTTTTGATAACATTTAATTTCTTCATTTTACTTATATAAAAATATATATAGAAAGAGAGACAAATTTTTTATTAGTTCTTTTAATAAGTTTATTTCCTTTTTTTTAAGTTTACTTCTCACAAAATTAACTCATGCGGGGTTTTTTATTGAGTTTAAATGCAAAACCTAAAGATGTAATTAAAATGTACTATTGATCTTTTTTGTAAACTTCATGGCCTAGTTCATTTTATATACCTCAATAAAACTATCAATTTGATATACCTCAATAAAACTAACTTTTTCTGTTCATATTATTTCTATGCATCCATATTTTTTTCAACTAAATAAAGATACTTTATTGTTATACTAACCTTTTTGTGATATCTTTTACAGTTTTTGTGAATATTTATATATATGAATTTTTATGAAATGTCTTTCTTCTGCTGATAAAGTCTCCACTCTCGCCTATAGAAATAAATAAATATTTTTTCATGAACTTGTTTTAAATTTTAGTTATTTTTTTTTATAAAGGGGTTTAGAATACTGTACTTGTTAGTGGATTTGCCAAAACATGTTTGTCTTTTGCTGTTAGTTATAAAGTTTACATGGACTGTTATAATTAAAATCAAGTTCCGATTAAAGCAAAGAAAAAGTGGTCAGGTAAAAAACTTTGACTGCTCTTTTTAATACCAGATTTGCATTATAATAAATATTGTTGTTATATATATATATATATATATATATATATATATATATATATATATATATATATATATATATATATATATATATATATATATACATGTGTGTGTATGTGTGTGTGTAGTCTATTTAACTGATTTTACTCTGCAGAGAATGCAGAAGTAGTCAATTTTTTTTTGTGTCAATTTTTAATATAGATATAGACATATTAGGTATTAATGACAAATAAAGTTTTTCAAATTATTGTTGTTGAAATCTTTTACTATTCTTTAAAAAACACAACTTTTTAAGGAAAAACAAGACATAGATATAATGAAGACATTCTTTTTTTTCTATGTTTATATTTTTACAAAGATGTATTTCTTATAATATTATCCCTTTATTTAAAATTAAATTGCCAATTAAATCAAAAAAAGCCTTAGAATATCAGCTAAAGTTATTAATTTACTTTCAAAACTGAATAAAGTATTGACTTTTTTAAAGTGAGAAATTTATTAAAATATTAATTTAGAATTAAAAAGTATTTTGACACCTTACCATACCAAAAATGTTCACAGTGTTACAGAGAAATAGAAAAATGAACATTTCAAAAAAACAAAAGAAAAATATGAAAATCTTTATCATAAAAACCTAAAAGTTGTGAGAGAAAAAAAGTATAGTCAAACTTAATTATTTGAGACCAAAAATAAAATAAGATTCCTAAATCCCTTTTTATTTGTCAATAAAGCGAAAACCTGAGTTATTTTACCTATTAAATTTCAAGTCTTGCTTGATGTGATAACTTTGTACACCTCAATTTTGTAATTATTGACCTACTCAACAATGGTAAAGATGACCTTGAGAAAAGAACTAAGTTAACTTTAATTGATATTCACCAATTAATTGAACTCTGCCTGAACAACTCATGAAAACACTGTTTCACGAGTTTCTGGCAAACAAGCTCTACAGTCCATAATGTACAATTAATGTTTTAATAGAGTGGAAAGTGTTTTTGAAAAATGTTTAAAGTTAAGTTGTGATAAAGTTTAACTATCTGATTCATTTGGAACTGTCTCAAACTGTCTTTTTGTGTTGAATAAAGGCATTATTTTTCGCAATGCAATTCTGGAATATAAACATTTTTTAACATTTCAATTAAATTTTTATTTGAAATTTTAGTGGTAATCAGAGGTTCATTTAGTTCATATTTTTTCCAATCAATTAGGTCTATATTGTCTTTTGCTTCAAAATTGATTTCTGGTATAGAGAACTTTCGAACTTAGTTTGTTTTTATCGATCTTGCTTTCATTATTCGTTGTAATGCCAATTTCCTCACATTTGGGGAAATGTCCGATGTCATAGCAAGAAGCATGTTTTCTGGATTCGCAAAAAAAGCATTCCTTGTATAACTGGATTGATGATGCATTTTATTTCACTACTGGCATACCTGGACAATTTGATGGTTAGTCATATGTCTAGCACCTTCTGTGCATGAGGGATTACATCTTATATTGGACCACATTTGGCAGTAAACTTTAATAATGAACTCAACTATTTCTCTCAGCCTGTGTGACGGTTTGCATAATATCGCCAAAGCGTTTGGACAATAACCTGTAGATATTGCTTTACAAATATCAAGTAAGAATTTTTGGTCAGAACTAAGAGATTTTTTGTCTATTTTTGGAAATGTGACACTAACAGGAATGTAGTTGACTATTGGCAAGGTATCACACAATTTCTCTTCCAATTGGTCTAGATCATCTGTTAGGTCCTGATGTAGGTCTTTCTAGTTTTTGAATTAGAAGCAGTTTGTTAGCATGTAAATTTTGTAGAAGCAACAACTTTGTAGAGGCAGTTCATTAGCATGTATTTGACAGATAAACCAGTGGACAGGTGTTTTTAGTTAAATTCAAACAAAGCAATAACACCATTAAGAAATCCGGTATTTACAACTGCTCCGTCACAACCCATTGCCACTAATTTGGATGTATCAATGTTGTTTTGAGTTTAAAATGTTTTTATACTTGACCCTGGTTCTTGTACTAAAATTACATTTCTTCTTTGATAGTTTTTCGTATATTTTTCTCCTTGTTTGTATTAATAACTAATGCTGTATCTTTTCTTCCATCTAAATGCAAACCTTCTAACATTTGAATATTTTCATGGTCTAAATGTTGTATTTTAAGTCTTTTCTCTTTCATTCTCTTTGAATCTTATTTTTATCAATTACTTTAGATTGGTCTCCTTTTGAAATTATGTTCATTTCTTCCAGCACAGCGCATGCTATAAATGCAGCACCTCTGCTTGTAACACCTACTCTATTGCAGGCTTGTGCTAAAGATAGTAACGGTGATCTCATTTGTTCAGTTTTACCTTTTCTGTTCCATTTTCACTTGCGGCCTTCAGCTCTGTCTAAATAATCAGCATCTGATTCTGAATCAGTGTTCCAAATGACATCATCAGAGTCAGAATCTTGAGATATAGAATAAAAACTTGAATTCTGAATGTGGGTTGATGATATTGCTTGAGCTTCAATACCTGTAATACCACAAGACTGTGTTGATGTGTTAGTGAGTAGGAGGCTAGTCTGCTAGACTTTTTTTCTTGTTGTCGCTGCAGCAGAAGACATTTTTGCCATTAAAGTTTTCTTTGATTTCAATTTATTTTGTTAATAAACAGATGTAAATTAGAACTAATAAATTATAACCTGTGCTTTTTGCTATTCATTTGAATATTTATTAAATTATAGGCATAAATATTTATTAAATTATAGACATAAATATTTATTGATTATAGACATAAGTTGTGGTAAATAATGCTGATGGTGATAGTAATAAATGACATAATTAGTGGCATTTTATATACTTGAATGTTATTTAAAAATCACCACTGTTATCAACAATTTCAAATTCAAAAAAATTGTTTTTCAATACACCCTAATTGGCGTGCTTCCAGAGCCACAGAAAACTGCAAGGATTTCAAGGGTATATATTTTGGGTGCACCTCGGCACAATCGCGCTTTATTCTAACTACCACGAAAGGAACTAAGAGATTCCTTTTAGATAAATTGCGTTAAAATTAATTATGAAATAAGGCACATCCTACAGCATTTGAACAAATACAACAGTGTAAAAATTGTATTAAATAGCTGAAGATCTCTTTTTAAAAAAATCATCTTACGTTTTTTGTTTAATTTTTATTGTATTTTATTTTACAACTGACATCAATCTGAGCTAATCAAACTGAAATATTACATAACTATATCAAAAATTAGTATTTAACTGTATTTTATGTTTTATATGTTAAATAATAAAGTTAAACAAGACATAATAATGTTTCATAATACATTTAAAAAATGGCTATTTTTCAAAAAAAAACTGTGTTTTACAAATAGCCATTTTTTTATAAAAATAATAAATAATAATAAAATATGCAAACATGTTTTTTCAAGCAATTATTTTAACTAGAAGTTCTTGTATTTTTTTTTTTAATATTAAACTAAAATTATTTTAATTAAAAGTACTTTTTTTAAAGGTTTTTAATTAATTAAAAACTCATCAATCATAAATTTAAACACAAAAGTACTAGTAGAAGAGCAAACTATTTATACTAATATGAAGTATAATTTAAGATAAGCCAATGTAAAGTTTGTTAATTTTGTTATATAATAACTTTTTACAGGGTTTTATTTGGATGCAAACAGACAAAACAAAAACTAATAATGAATATATCTACAAGCACGTGGCTTCACTTTTGAGTAGTAAACAAAAAAAAATACAGTATGTTTTATCTTTATTTTACACTTTTAGCTATATTTATTTATAATTATTGCAATAGATATAATTGATAAAATATAAGCAATTGGTTGTATGAAATAGCAAAACATTTTTATCAACTAAGTAATATTAGGTGCACAAAGTCGACACTTGATATGTACTTAGTTGATAAAAATATTGTGCTATTTCATATAACCAAATTGCTTATATTTTTTTAATTATATTAATTGGAATAATTATATATAAACAGTTAAAAAATTATATATAAATAAAGCTTATATTTATTACAATAATTATATATTTGATGATTTCAAGTTTATAAGTATAACAAACAAAATAAGTACTTTCAACAATTACGCAATTGGATATGGTTTTTTCTTATAACTGTTTAATGCTTTCTATTAGATAAGGATGAGTTTATCCATTCAAGAGGCTGATTGGAAATTTTAAGCTTGTAAACTAACTGTTTAATTTGATAAAAGTTCTCCCTCAGAGTTTAAAGATTTTGTAATGTAAGATATCATTATTTCGATCTTCTTGTTCTACTGCTAATTTGTTAATGGTAATAACTGATAGTTTTTATCATGCCTTAGATAGATGTGGAAAGGTTAAGGCTATCACTATTGACATTTCTAAAGCCTTTGATAAATTTTGGTAAGCTGGTCTTCGCTATAAGGTCTCTTTTTTGGTGTATCAGGTAACATCTTTAAGATTATTAAATCCTTTCTTAGCAATTTTAGTATAAAAGTTTTTGTCAGTAACACTCTTTTTAATTTCCTGTAACTTCAAGGCTTCCTTAAGGTTCTCTCCCTGGCCCTATACTTTTTATTATTTACATTACTAATATCCCAGAAATTCGAACATCTAAGGTAGCATTGTATGCTGATGATACTACTATTTATTCTTGTCTTGATACAAATCCAATACTCTCTGATTGCTTGGAGGGGACATTTGAGCTTGAAAAGAATCTCAATTCTGCTACAGCATGGCGCACTCGGTGGCTGGCTTGACTCAAACTCAAAAATAAAATTCAATTTTTTTCAGCTAATCATTATCACAACAATCTAGATCTTTCTATATTTATGAACAATAATGTACTCGATGAGTCATCTACCCTTCGTCTTCTAGGATTAACTCTTCCTTCTGATCGTTTTTGGAAACCAAATCAATTCAATTGCAAAATTTACATCTGCTAAAGTTTCATCTCTTTATCATGCTCGCCACTTTCTTACTCTGGATTCTATTCTTTATCTCAAAGTCAACCTCATATGGAATACAGTTGCCATATCTGGAGCAAATTTTCAAATGATTTCCTTTCTCTTTTAGACAAGGTGTAAAAATGCGTTGTAAACATAGTTGGACCTGTTCTTGCAGCCAACCTTTAACCATTGTCACATTGTCATAATGTTGCTTTTCTTTTTCTTTTCTATAAATAATATAATAGGTGCTGCTTTAAAAAGCTAGTGTCTTTTGTGCCATTTACCAAAATTCAATCTTGTATTACTTGTCATTCAATCAATTCTCATCATTTTATTTTGAGTGTTCCTCATTGCTCCCAAAATTCTTATTCATCTAGTTTTTTTTTGTTTTTTTTAACATCCTCACTTCCAACAAGGCTGCAAGCAACCACTAATTAGTGTTGGAAGTTACTGGAAGAGAAAAGATGAAGGTTTTAGAGCAAGATAGCGATTGACAGATGACTTAAAAGATAGCAAATTATATGAATCAGGAAAGCAAGATGAAGGAAGCGAACTCCAAAGAATTGATGTTCGAGGAAAAAAACTAGACAAATAAGAGTTTTTGGAGCACTTAGGAACAGTAACAGAAAAAGGATGAGACCTAATTGAATGACGAGTAACACAAGAATGAATTTTAGTAGATGGCACAAGAGATGCTAGCTCTTTAGAGCAGTGCCCATTATAGTATTTGTAGAAAAGAGAGAGAGAAGCAACATTACGACGATGTGACAGAGGTTGAAGGTTAGCTGCAAGAGCAGGTCCAACTATGTTTACAATGCGTTTTTGCACCTTGTCTAAAAGAGAAAGGGCATCATTAGAAGATCCGCCCCAGATATGACAACAGTATTCCATACAAGGTCGGAAAGTTTTCTTCCTCAAACATTTCTTTGAAATTTGCTCCCTTCATCTTGTTTTCCTGATTCATATAGTTTCTTATCTTTTAAATTGTTTGTTTATTGTTATCTTGCTTTGTAAACTTTATCTTTTCTCGTCCAGTAACTTCTAACTCTAATATTGGTTGCTTTCAGCCTTGTAGGAAATAATCTTAAAAAATAAAATATTTTTAATAAATATCTTAATGATTGTCTTTTTTCATTACTTTATTTACTCATTAAATTATCTTTTTTTTCTAGATAAATTTTTCTCAAATATCTTAATGGTTGTTCTTGATAGCTTTTAAAAATAATATTTTTTTTTGCTTGTATTTAAACTTGAAATTCAAGTTTTTTTATTTATTCTATAATGTTATTTATACTTTTTCACTATTATCATTATTTTCATTATTCTATTTACTTATATATAACTTTTATAAATGTTATATTTTGGGTTATATTATTTAAAAAAATTATATTTTTTAAATAAATTAAAACTAGTATGTAATGATAAATTAGAAAAAGTTGAAAAGGCTTCTACTTTAAAAAGTTATTAACCTCAATTTTGTTACAGAAAATATCCTATTTTTGAGTTTCAAATAAAATAAGAGAATATTTAACAATTGATATATTCAATATCAATTCAATTATAAATATTTTTTATAATATAGTTTTATCTTCATTATTAAATTTTCAATTTTAGATGTGATGACAATAACCTATCAAAGTTTAAATTTAATTCACTAATTCGTGATAACAATCCAGGTAACCTTTTATAAAGACAATGTGCAATAGAAGTAGATTTAGTGATGTGATATGTGATAAGGTTTATTAGTTTTTAAGTATTTTCAGCTTTTTTTTATTTTCACCTAAATATATAATTAAGTAATAGTTAAATTATTCCATCAATTAAAAAAAACATTTTGCTTTAAAACGTCGCCCCTAACATCGCTTGATCCATACCTGTTTAAACAGATTAGGCATCATACAAGCTCTGAAATAAAAAAACCATGTAGTTCTCTCATTCAGTTCATTCATTCAGTGTCTTTGTAGGTGTTTATTGGTTCCGCTAGTATAAAATTGTTGGTGATGTCTAAATTATGTTAATTGTCATAGGACTCAAATATTAGTTGCATATTCATAAACTTATGTATTGTGCATGATATTATCAAACTTTCTAATTTTAAACATATTCCAAATAATATGTAAAATTGACAGTTTCTCCTCCTGTAATTAATGTTAATCAGCATGATAAATGTCAGTGGTTTAATTTCATGTTATAATTGCTGGACATTGCTCAAGAGTTGGTGCAATCTATTAAGGATTAAAGCGTGAGTTTGAAGTCCATCAAATAATAATTTTGTGTGCTTTAAGTTTTATCTAGATTGCCCTTATTCTTGGATGCTTGATACAGGGAGGAGGGGGGATGAAACAAAAAGAAGGAGTAGGAATTTCAGTTCAGATCTATTAAATTTTTTTTTTTTTTTAACATTTTCGCTTCCAACAAGGCTGCAAGCAACCACTAATTAGAGTTAAAAGGTACTGGAAGAGAAAAGATAACGATTGACAGACGACTTAAACAGACGTTTTTGCACCTTGTCTAAAAGAGAAAGGGATCAATAGAAGATCTGCCCCAGATATGGCAACAGTATTCCATACAAGGCCGGATTTAAATTTATAGAGATAGAGAATAGAATCCAGAGTAAGAAAGTGTTGAGCTCGATAAAGAGATGTAACTTTAGCAGATGCTAAATTTGCAATGGATTTGATATATGGTTTCCAAGAAAGATCAGAAGTAAGAGTTAATCCTAGAAGATGAAGGGTAGATGACTCGAGTAGATTACCGTTCATAAATATAGGAAGTTCTAAATTATTGCGATAACGATTGGCTGAAAAAAATTGAGTTTTATCTAAATTAAAGTTCACCAGCCACTGTAAGCCCTATGCTGAGCAGAATCGAGATCCTTTTCAAGCTCAAATGCCTCCTCCGAGCAATCAGAGAAAGTTGGCTTCTTATCATGACAAGAATAAATGGTAGTATCATCAGTAAGCAATGCCACCTGAGATGTGAGAATACCTGGAAGATCGTTAATGTAAATTAAAAAGAATATAGGGCCAAGGATTATGGAATACGATTGGAAAGGAAGGATTCAATAATCTTAAAGATGTTTTCAGTTAAACCATAAGAATAAAGCTTATGGAGAAGACCAGCGTGGCAAACATCAAATGCTCTAGGAATGTCAAGAGCAATGGCCTTAACCTCTCCACCTTTATCTAATGCACAATAAAACCTATTGGTTATTACTGTTAGCAAATCAGCTATAGTACAAGAAGATCTAAATCCATATTGATGATTAGAAAGTAAGTTATTAGATTAAAGATGAGAGATTAAGTGTTTGTTAATTAAAGATTCAAAAACCTTGCTTATGACAGGAAGAAGACTAATGGGACAGTACTTAGACGAATTTGATTGCTCCCCAGAATTTTTAAAAATAGGGATAGCAGATGCTGTTTTCCAGCAAGCTGGAAAACAAGACTCTGATAAGCACTTGTTGAATAGTTTTAAAAAGATAGGCGACAGCTCCCAAGAACACTTCTGCAAGACTATAACAGGTATGTTTTCCGGGCCACAAGCTGTAGAAGAGTCTAAGCAGGAAATCACTTTAGATACAGAAGCTGAAGTGATATGAATGTCAAGCAACGGTTCAACCTGTTTAATGGCTATATCAGGTAGAACGCAACTAGTGGAATCAAGAGATGATATTGATGAAAAGTTCTTGAAAAACAAATCAGCTTTGTCTTTAGGTGAGGTGACAAAGTCTGAACCATACAAAAGAGGTGGAATTACAGACTTGCCCTTATTATTGATACTATTAAAAATTCTCCAGAAGTCACGAGGGCCTAATTTTTGTGATGAAATACGAGATTTCATGGTCTGAGAATAGTGGGCTTTGGTGTTAGACTAAACCTTTTTACAATGGTTCCTAGCAGTAATAAATAGACGTTTTTTACTGAACAATTGTTTTTCTGATATATATGGAAGTAATTGTTTTGATTGGCAATTGCAAGCAGCACAATGTGAGGAAAACCATGGAGAAGAATGAGGCTTGACCTGGAATTGTCGAAAGGGAATAAAGGATTCCATGCCAGCCTGAATCCATGAAGTTATGTAAGAAGCACATTTGTCAACAGGAAGACGAAAGATTTTTAGCCAAGGGCCATCACGAAGAAAATCTTGGAAAGAGTCCCAGTCAGCTTTAAGGTAGTTGTAAGATGTACGATGATAGGGATAATCATCTCATACTTCTTTATTCTGATGATAAAGAAGTATGAAATGATAGTTTTAAAACAATCAAACTGTGATCAGAGGCATCTAAGGGTGAATGTGGAGAAACTGAGCACTGACTAGGATCAGAAACAAAGCATAAGTCGAGTAGAGAAGGTAAATGATTCAAGTTGTCTGGAAAGCAATTCAGAAAGTTGACAATTTGAGTTAGAGATTGAGAAAGGCAAAAGTTTTGGGCTTTAATGCCTGCAGAGTCACTGACACTAGCGACAAGCCATTCATTGTGATAAGCAATAAAGTCACCAACAGCAACAATCTGGCTGATAGATAAAGAGAGAGGGCTTTTTGATCTGAAATAACATCGAAAAGAATGCAGTCTTGAGATGAAGGAGAGCGATATAGAACAAAGAGTAAGGCGATAGAGTGAAGTGGTGCTAAACCAAAGTACATAAAAGAGTAGTCTGTGTGTTTAAACCTAATTTCCCAACAAATGAGTGAATTTTTATGAATGTAAATGCCCAGGTCAAGCATGTGACTATTGGAGTCTTTACGAATTAAAGGAAGATAGCCATCAACACTTAGATCACAACATGAGACAGATGAACTTAAATTAGTCTCAAAAAGTAGATCTAGCAAGTAGGTCTGGTGAACTTTGCAAGAGATAAGACTCAGCAGAAAAAAAGTTACTTTGAAGACCACAAGTATTAGTGAATGATAGGTTTAGCGTACTTGATGATGACAGTGGTTTTTTGTGTTTTATATTTTTTGTTACTTTATTCATTTTTAAATTTGTCAAAGAACTTGAATCGAAACATAGATAGTACTCAGTAAACAGTTTAATAGCCCAAGCAAATGCCTCATTACTACTAATAAACCCTAAGTTGTAACAAAGGGCTCCAATGTGGCCTTGGCAATGCACACCAAAGGTACAAACAGGGACACCATCCATGCACAACATGGCACTGTTAATACTTTGATATTTATCTGCTGTTGATCGAGTTAGCCTCTCTGAGAGCTACCACAGAGTTTGGGAAACCTGACTACCAGCTGGCCTCAGAACCAAAAAACTGAGTTTTAGAGCTTTACCCTCATTAGGTGATAATAGAATGAGTTGCCTAGTCATAAAAACGGAGACACAAGCAAAACCCATGCATTCAGTGGCAAGTGCATACTTTGAAATTTGTCATGAATCTTTTTATCATTTGGGAAAAGAACTTTTGATGCTTCAATCATGCAATCTTTGATTATTTCACCATCAGTTAATGATTTCAGGATTTTTCCTAATATCCATGACACCATATTAGAGGCACGAGTTTCACAATCAACACTGCTAGACATTTTTTGAAACAAATTTTTCTGTTTTTCTGGACAGCTTTTCAATGAGTCGTATTTTGTTTTCTGGTTGTTGAATCAAGAGGACATTTAGTATTGTACATTTTGTGTTTTGATAAGAAATGACGCTCAAGCTTGGTTCCTTTCAGTTCACTAACAGTCTCATTACATATTAAACATAGAGCATTGCACTTGGTCCCTCAGTGAAGAAATAAATCAGCTCCCATTTTTCATTCCACTGACGTGCATATTTACGCTTCGGTTCATGTTTTCCTGACATATCTTTGCAAGTTAATGTGTGTATTTAGCAGAGTTGCAACTTCTGAGTAAAGCATCCAAACTCGATAACCGGTTAACTCGATAACTGGTAATACTCAACAAATTTTTTGCTATTAAATATCCGAAAATTGCGTCTTAAATAACTGGCTATTTAAAAAATTAAAGATTTGCAAACAATTTACTTTATAATACTTATTTTTTAAAATATCTAAACAATGTAGTATTTCTATTCAAGAAAAGTATGAAAAACATCCTAAAGACTAAGATGATAATTTTTACCACTAGTATATTTGTTATGAAATAGTTTTTATAGCGTTATATTAATTAGATTATGTTGTTTAAGATACTTCATCTGAACAAATTCGAATGTTATGATTATTTTTGACGTGCTTTTCGAATGTTTTTATTTTTGTAGAGTCATTTGTTTAGCATGACTTAACTTTTAAGAATTAGGATCTTATTTGAACTATTAAAGTGCTACAGTGTTTTAGGACATTAAAAAATTATTTTTTTGATATGACTAAAATGACAAGATCTGGTGAGTATTTTAAAAGGAGGCTTTAGAATTTTTCCTGCCCAGAAAATAACTAAAAGGCCCACAACTACACTACTTTGTATAATATGCGGTTGGGTGGCTTGGGACCCACAAATAATGTAGCAAAAGCCCACAATTAGGCCGCGGCCCACAATTTGCCGACCCCTGGGTTAGGGTTTAGTAGCATAAAAAGTTAATTAATTACTGACATAAAAAATGAAGTATATAATGTATATAATTAATATATAATGAAGTAAACGAAAAACAATTTTTATAACACATTTATTAACAATTTAACAAAACAATATTTGTTTTGTAAAACTAACACTAAATGAATGTTATTTTTTTTATGTTTCAAAGTTATGTAATTTTTATAGCCTTTCTCCATAGTACAGTCCATTTACTATTTTACATTGCAAAGTTTACCCTGTTGATAAGCCTACTTTTAAGTCTTCCTTTGCACCCCCCCCCCCCCTCCCTTCCTCTTTAAAAAGTACAAATTAAGGGGCTCTTTTTGAAACTTATAGACCTTAGTTTCATGAAATTGTTCAATGAAACATAATATACTAAAAAATGTTTATATTTTCTCTTTAATATTAAGCTGGAGAAAAAAACAACTTTTTGCAAGTCATATATGTGGTAACCAAATTGCAAGTAATAACACTTACATAGCTATTTTACATCATGGCTTTTTATTTATGGTAACTATATACTAAACTTAAAAAGCTGTTATAGAAAAACACATATATCTTATCATATAAGCATTCCATATAAGATATAAATGGTAATTACCAAACTGTTTCTTACTTACTAAAAATATTGTTGCTGATAATATAGGTTCAATAGCTAAAGAAAAAAGAATATATGAAAATAGAGTGCAATAAATATATATATATATATATATATATATATATATATATATATATATATATATATATATATATATATATATATATATATATATATATATATATGTATATATATATATATATATATATATATATATATATATATATATATATATATATATATATATATATATATATATATATATATATATATATATATATATATATATATATATAAACTAATGATCAATCAAATAAAATTTATCATAAATTAATAATCATTTTTATTAAAAGATATCAATGTGTCAGTTGAAAAAAAATTATGCTTTTTTAATACAAGATGAAACACGTTATAATACTGCCATGTCATGTCAATGTTATGAAGCAACTGGCATTCAAGTGGTAAAATCCAGCTTTCTAGTAAAAAAGTCCTTCTCCTTGTAACAAAAAAGGGTTTCTCAGTAATAAACACTGATTTTTCACAGTATCAAAAACTGGTTTTTGCCAGTATTAAAAACATGTTTTTGTAATAGTTATAAAATAGCTAAAAATTAACATACTCTATACCAAATAAAAAGCAGTATTCGTATAATGATTTAGAAATTCATAAGTACATAACTAATAAATTAATTTTAATCACAAATTTCATATAAAACTTATTTTTTGATAATTCTTAGGTTTACAGAATAGGTTTTCAACAAATAAAATAAAAACATAGATCTTTTATAAAAGCAATTAGTAAATTTTAACCGTAGTAGTTGAATAGTAATTATGAAATTTTGATTGAAATTGTTGCACTTTTTCTGATAAATACAGATTTATATCAGGAAGAACAATAAAAAACAACAACAATATATAATAAAAGTTGTATTTATATACAATCAAAATAATTTATACAAAACAAAATTATACGAAAAAAATAAAAATTTATCTAAAATTGATATTTTATAAATATTAAAAATAATACTGATTGTAGATGCAGGCAACCCCACTTCTTCTTCCCCTCCTATGCCTTTTTCTTTTATAGCAGCCACTACTACCCAAACGGAAGAAGGAATAGGGGTAGTCCTGCCCGCCATTTTAGACCAACACATCATGTGCTATTGGTTCTACATATCTTTGCCTTTAATTTAAAAATATCTTTATCATTATAGTTGTATTTAATAAAAAAATCTTAGGCTAACTAAACACTAGTAATATTTAAAACTTTAACTCAACTTACCTACTAATCTATTTACAGAGGCTCTACTCTTAGCTCTACTCTTGCTAAATATTCGATAAGGATAAAAAAAAATGTGTCAATTAAAATGTACCAATAAAAATATTATTCATTTTAACAAATTAAACAAATAAAAGATTACATGAAAGTCTGCATGATGTAAGTTGAAAAAAAAAAAGTTTGAGTGAAGTCAAAATTTATGATTACAAAGCAATATGCTATTAAATATGAGACTGATGTACTTGCATACACATGTACACATGTGTTAAGCATTTTTTTTAATAAGTAAGTTCAAATACAAATATAAAAATATAGGACTTACATAATTTAAAGTTGTAACTTACGTAAAAATTAAAGTTGTTTATAGTTGTAAATTTAAAAATTATATTTATATAACGCTATCTAGAAATATTATAAGTCAAGTATTAACCTCAAAGACAAGGTAAGTATTATTTTCTACCATTTACTTAAACTTATTTTACTATTTAATCTATTTTAAAAGAAGAATATATAAAGAATAAGTATATAAATGGTAGGTGTGAAACATAAACCATACCATGACCTGTTTTACAGGTCTAGGCAGCTAGCAATCAATATAATAACCTGATTCCTAATATAATAACTCAATTAATTAATTAATAATAATATCTAATAATACTATTTAAATGAGGGGTTTGAAAAAGACAATATTTAGCTGTTAAAATTTAGCTAAAGTTTTAAATTTTGCAATTTTTATTCAGGCTCAGTCAAATTTATATGTATGAATAATAAATATAAACATATTTGTATTATATTTATGAATAAAGATATATATATATCTTTTTCAAGTGCATTTATCCGAGTTAGATTTAAACATTATTCAAAAAATACTACAGTGCCTTATACTTTTTTTATTAATAATTTTTTTGTGTTAGTGTGTGTGTACATTTATATTGTTTATATATTTTTATTAAATATTAAACCTGCGGAAAATACTTATTAAAATATATGATATATCAGTTAAATAATTTATCAAATAAAAGTATTTTTATATTTTTAAATGCTATAAAAATAAATTACTCTTTAAATTATCATGATGTAACATGCAATAAATGAAAAATGAAATAATTTGAACAATTTTTTCAACAATCTGGATTACTATTACTATTAATATACTTCAAACAGATTCTTCAGTATGTTCAAAAGATATGTACTTATATCCTTCATACATATATCCTTCATCTACATGTACATATATGCTTTATCCATATACGAAGGAGATCAAATTTTTTCACCAATATTGTCACAATCTTATTCAAAAAAATTTAAATTTTTGCATGTTACAGGCTTGGTTTTTTAGTCGTTTTGAGAACATTTCAAAAAGCAAAAAAAATGTGCTAAAGATTAATTGGACCGATGAGAGACAATTACAAAAAAGAAAAAAAAAATTAGGAGAATAAAATATCTTTTAACGCGAAAAAACTTAAAGCAAAATGAATTACGTTTAGAACAAATATTTTCGAAACATTGCTCTTTTATAACTTTTTTATTTATTTATTTATCCAAGTTTGCAAGTTAATTTTTTTTATTTATCCAAGTTTGCAAGTTAATTTTTTGCAAGTTAATTTTTTTAACTCCTATTTTATGTTTCGCGTAGTTTGAAAAGTTTGACATATTTGAAATAATTCTTCTTAGTAAGATAAACAAATAAAATAATTAAATCTTTGAATTACTATAGAAATTAAATTAACTAGATAAAAATCAACTATAAAAATTAAAAATACTTTAAATAATAATGATCAACATGTTCATCATTAAAATAAGATGAGGAACCGAAACTGCTTCACAATATCGCTGATGTTTAGTGAGTGGGCTTTTCAATTTTGATTAGTATTTAAAGCAGAAAAAAGTATAACGAGTTTTTAAGAATGGCAACTTAAGCGAAAATAATTAGATTTAGTAAACCAATATCTAAAAACTTTTCTTTATATCTAATAACTTGCTATAATATTTGTGTTCTGTTGTGACCTCAGGCGTGGTGCTTGTTCATTCGCGAGTTACTTTGTATGCATTGTTTGTGATTAGTAACCAGAAACTTCTAATGTTTGATGCATAATTAGTTTTATTAACTTTAATGATTATTAGTAACTTCATTGAAAACGCAATTATTTTTGTAAGTCTTTGTTTACAAATTAAATCAATAAAAAACAGATACACAAAATTATATTTACATAAAAAATATATACTTTTTAAATGAAAAATAAGTATATACTAATAAAATCTATAATTTATAATAAACTTTCAAAATTTTGACAATTTAAATAATATATATTTAAAACATTTATTTTTGTAAACAAATAATAGTTTATAAGATTTTGTAGATGTGGCTCCGAGAATGAGCTATAGAATTGATAATATATTCTTAAAATAATTTATGCTAGAAATCTCAAAACATAAAAAATCATGAATAATACAATTTCTAAAACATTTCAGCAGAATACTCTATAACTTTATTTTGCTTAGTCAGCGTATTTTTTGAACCAATAGGATTAGTTTGTTCATTAATTTGGCGGATTTTTAGAGTTCGCGAATATTTTTTTTAATCTTCTGCAAGATGTTTTGAGAACATTCAAGTTTTTTATGTTTCCATGTATGTCCGTTAAACAAAAATTTTTTGTTTCGTACATAAACTTAAATGTTCTCAAAACAACTAAAAAACCTGGCCAGTTTTTCGCAACTAAATATAACTTCCGTGGTCAGTATTCAAGAGTAATCGCTCCCGCTTCCCAACGGGAGCGATTACTCTTGAATACTGACCACGGAAGTGGTCAGTATTCAAGAGTAATCGCTCTTGAATACTTGATTCAAGTATTCAAGAGCGATTACTCTTGATGTTATAGCTTAATCTTTATTTTTTCAGAAATAAAGATTAAGCTATAACATCAAGAGTGTTATTGCTTAATCTTTATTTTTTCAGGTTTCAAGTTTTCTCTAAGAATTATTTTATCAGCGTTCATATCATGTTTGGCTGTTTATATAGTATGAAATATTTTTTGTATACTTTACTGATATTGATTTTTTATATTTTCTATGTGTAGGAAGTGGCCGAGGCCCCGGCCCTGGCTAGAAATGAGACTTGTTGCAAACCTGCCCTTGGCCCTGGCAAAATTAAAAAATGTAGCAGGGTCTAGAAAAAAATTTATAATACTTTATATATTATAGTTTTATACTTACATTAACTATTTATTAAATACTGGCATATATTTATATTTTTTTTAAATCTAATTTACTTCAAACAAGGTTGCAAGCAACCACTATTAATGAGTTACTTTAAAATAGAGGATCGGTTAAAAAGCTAGGAAACAGTTAACTGTAAAGTTGTAATTATGTTAAAAAGGAAAACATTAAGTTGGCAAAAAAAATGGAATAATAAAAGTTTTTATAGCATGAAGGGACAGGTACAATAAAATGATGCAATTTGTTGATTAGCTAAATAAGTTTTGGTTAATTGTAATAGACATGATAGAATAAGTTTTGGTTAATTGTAATAGATCTTATAGCTTGTTTGAGCATTGACCATCATTAGAGAAACAACATAAAAGAGGAAGGCTAAAGCCTGATGATGATGATGGTGATGATGATGATGATGATGATGATGATGATGATGATGATGATGATAATGATGAGGAGGAGGAGGTGATGATGATGATGATGATGATGATGATGATGATGATGATGATGATGATGATGATGATGATGATGATGATGATGATGATGATGATGATGATGATGATGATGAGGATAATGATGATGAGGATGATAATATTGATGATCATGATGATGGTAATGATGATAATGATGAACATGTTAATCATAATGATGTTTATATATGCATATATATACAAAATATAACATGAATTTTGAATAAAAAAAGTATATTTTAGGATGAATAAATGTTTATGCAGCCCCGTTCACAAACCTGATCCCGGCTATATTTTATTAAACCTGACCCCAGTCAAATACCAACCCCAGTCACTTACTATCTGTGTCATTATCATCACTGTTGTTATAATTAGTTGTAATTATTATTTAATTTTTAAGCCTTCATTGCATTATATTATAGGTTATTTTTGTCATTAATTATTTTTATGTATATTAAATTTTTTTAATCATTTTACACGCAAAATACAAAGTACTAGCTGTTTGTCAACACTGTATAATAAGCATGTAAATATTTTTTACTATAAACTTGGATATTGTTATTTTGCCATCATCTTAATCTTACCAAATTATGAACAAATAATTTGGTTTGACTTTAAGTATAAATAGTATATAAATGATATAATGATATATAAATAATAATACTTAAATAACAATAATATTATTTGTTATTTAAGTATTATTATTTATACATCATTATCATTAAACTCTTTTCAGGCTAAGTCTAAAGTCTCAAGTAAACATCTTTGTTATATGGCTGTAGTCAAATATGACATAGTAATGAAAATTAGTGACATTGGTGAAGAAGAAGGCAGAAACTTTCTCATTAAATAGTTTTCCATGGTGCTATTTGTGACAAGGTTTTCTTGGAGGATCCTATTAACCGAAATAAGATATAAATAAATTGCAGAGCTTAAACAACTCCATTTAATAAATGATTTTTAAATAATTCATGGTTATGCAATATATATATTAGGGTGGTTCTTAAAACAACATTTTTTGAAAATACCTGCTGACACCCACTAAATGTGTTCTAATTAATAAAATAATCCTGGATTTGAAAAATTTTTGAATAAAAAATATTTTTAGGGGTGCCACAAGATCCTTAAACATCAAACAGGGCCCTAATATTATCAAAAAAAAGTTTTTTTAAAGTCTTATTGGGTCTCAAAAGCGAAGTTATATTAAAACATCTAAAATAGTTATCATTTTATAAAAAAATTATTATTTTTGATTTTAGTGAACTGAAAATTACATTTTTCAACTAAAAACAAAAAATAGGGGAAAATAGGAACCAAGATTTTTTTAATTCTATTTTTTTTTTTTAACGTTTTTTTATAAAATAATACTTATTTTTAAACTTTTATATAATTTCGCTTCTTTTGAGACCCAACATGCCTAAAAATATTTTTTATTCAAAAATTTTTCAAATCCAGTATTATTTTATTATTTAGAACACATTTAGGGTGTGTCAGCAGACATTTTTAAAAAAAGTTGTATTTAGCACCACCCTAATATATATACATATTATTGCAGTATTAATATATTAGTGTTTTTATATGTTTTATAATTACAATAATATCAGAGTTTTTGTACTAAATTATCTTTTTATTTTCAATTTTTATTCAGATAAAGGGGTTTCCCACTTTTGCTGTAAGAATGAAGCTGTAAAAGACCTAATTATCATGGTCTAAGGTCTAGAAAGTGTATCCAGTGAGCAAGTTGCTTCTGGGATTCTTGAAGGAAAAAAAGAGATTAAATTAAAAAAGTTTAATATTAAAAAGATATAATATTGAACCTAAAAAAAAAAATTATCTTAAAGACTTTTGAGAACAATATTATTGTTGTTGTTGCTGACCTGATGTATGTAATGTAGCAGAGAATACCTTAAAAAAAGTTATCTTTATAAGTTATAGTGGAAGTCTTATATACTCTTGGTAAAGCTATTGAAACTATTGAAACCTCTAAATATTGTAAATTGTTAAAAAGCATTTGATCTAAAATTTGATAATTTTTTTTTATTTAGTTTAATCAGTCCCAGTGGCAAGTATGTCTCTCGTGTGAAAGGAAAAATACTCTTAAGAGTGGAGAAAAAAGAACTTTAGGTTTAATTCATATGAACTATAACAAATTTGTTGTAGATAGATGCATGAAGGAATATAAATACTCCTTGAATTGTATATCTCCATGGACTCTTAAATGCTTTAGTAGAATATCCTAAAGTAACATGTTTAGTAAGGGTGTTCAAGAAAAAACAAATTTAAAATTTAAAAAACCAAACCATCTATACTTGAGCACTATTGATTTACCCTTTCTTTGCCCTCAAAAATGTTATATTTGGACCTCAAAATGACTGAAAATGGCTCATTTTAATCGTCTTGAGGGCAAGACTAACATAATCATAGCTCATCTTTATGGAAAGATGAGCTATGCAATGAGCTATGATGTTACGGAAATTATACGTTCAGTGTAACTATTTTGTATTCACCTAAGTCTTGCAGCATTTGTAAAGTTAGGGTTGCACATGAGTTGCGCTTAACTTATGCAAAAAAAAACAACCGAGTTGATTTTTTTAATGAATTTTCTTGTAATTTTGTTAAACAAACTTTTTCTAATATTGAATTCATATAATTTCTAACAAATTTGGGATTATTGCTAATTAATATTTTTTACAGCCTAATAAAATAAAAGTATTATTTTTATGAAACTCTGCTATAAAAAATAAATACTTTTAATTGAATATTTATTTAGTAAAAACTTTTAAGAAAATAGTTAAGTAGAAAAGAGGGAAAGGGGTTCATAATTGATTAATCTACAAAGATGTTATTAAGAGCAGGTAAATTTTGACAGTTGTTTAATATACAATTAATCTTGCTATAAAACTTTTATTTTCTTCAATCATAAATATCACATAAATCTATTAATTATTAAATCATATAGTCTATTTATAGACACTATATATATATATAATTAAAAGTTTGTATACTAATTTGAAATGCATGAATAAACTCAAGTTTGGAGTTTGTATAATGGGTAAACAAGTCATATAAAACATAAAAAGAATCTTTGTAACATTTGCCGATGTAACATTTAACAATATATTATCACCTATGATTTGCAAACAAATAATATTGAATAGTGTTCTGTATACAATGCCAAGTCAAATTGGTTGACTTGTGTTAATTCAGCCTGAACATTGTGTAAATCATCTTCATCATTGTTAACAAAGTTTATGTCATCTGGAATTTCTAATTCTAAGCAATTGCAAAGGTTTTCCAGTAAACTGTACGTAAAATATATTTTGCAGTATATTGTTAGGGTGATCGTATGTTAGGAGCACTGAAGTGCTCCACCTCTCTTATGACCTCCAAAGGTTTTTATAATGACCAAAGGATTGCTCCACATCACTATCTACCTGAAGGTAAACTTTATTGAAATATATTTTCTCTTATGTAGTTGTATCTGATGTAGATTAAATAATGTATTTATAACCTGTATTAAGATTATATTCTAATGCAGGCTTTATTCTTTTTTAGTTCAGAACTAGAAAAAATTAAAATCTTTACCCATGATACTTTTTGTCAACATCTCCGAAAAACTCTTTTAAACACCATTCATAACTGTCCATTAATAACAAACATATTTAACAATAAAAATCAAAAGATTATTTCTTTTTTGTACCTAATTTTTTTTGAATTGACTATTAATTTTTACCAGTTACTCTTTGAAAACTCCCAATTACTTTTATAAAACCCTCATATTAGTATTTTTGTTTCTGAAAAAATTGGGTTGCTTCTCAATGTGATTGCTAACAAATCATTGTTAATGTGTTGACAATATCTCTATTTACTTTTAGACAAATGAAATTTTTGAACACGTTCTACATCAGAATAATCATTTAACATGTTGAGCCTGATGCCAGATTCACCAATTCTTTTTTTAACTAAAACTAAATAAAGCTATTAAAACAACTAAATGAACTATGATTGTTATACTTAATGACATAGAAAAAACTTTTTGTTAATATATACAGTGTTTTGTTAATAATAAAGATATTGCCAATATTATAATTTAATGATTATATATATTACCAAAGTCTTCATCATAACAGTATAGTATAACTGCATCATAACAGTATAGCATCTTTTAAAATATATAATATATATTTTATACTATAAACAATATATAACATACTGTAATATCTTATTTTATATAACAACAACATCAACAACAAGCTATTTATTTTCTATTTTAAAATCATTTTTACAATAATAAGATAAATAATAATAACAATAATTATAAAATAATAAGCAATAGTA